AAAAGATAAAGAAAAAAACTTGTGGTACTGATGGATTCAACACTGCTTAAGTCTGCATGAACATATTTAACTCCTTGTACTTCTTGTTAAAACAAACAAGAGACAAATGCAGATTAAAAACATAAATAAAAAGCAAATTTATTATATTCATTTAGTCAAAGACAGGGTTTGTTGAGCAGGGTCGTGAATTCTGCGTGGAGGCCGAGGTCTTGCTGAGGCTTTCGGGGGGACTGGAGGCATGTGGGGACCTGGATCTCCCACTGCCTTTCTCTGCTGAAAGCAGTGTGCAGAGAGAATCCTTGTGTCTGCCAGGCAAGGCATCAACTCATTTCCATACTACCCTGCCCCCTCTGTGTTCTTTCTTCATCAGCCCTTAACATTTAGTATAGCAGTATCTAGCCACAAAGCAACTGCAAACAAATACACCACCAAAATCCCATCACAGGACCCACTTATAACACTGGTGAGCATGATCTTCAATGCTCTCGCACCCTGTTTGAAAGGATTTTCGTTTAAATGAGGAACTCAGCACAAATTCTCATGAGGAATATAGTTGAGTACTTTTGTCAGAGAAACAGTGATTCACACAGTGCTCCCCAGAGTGTATGAGGCAGCCTCCAAAATTCAACACAATAGAAAAAAAGACCAGCTCAAGAACCTGAACAGAGTGTAAAAGAGAATGCCTCACACCTGTAATCTTGGCACTTGAGAGGCTGAGGCATATAAAGCTAGCCTGGGACTATAGAGATCTTGTCTCCACAAAAGCCCTCAGGAAAACAAAAAACAGGCAGCAACAACAACTTCTTAATAAAGAGCATAACAGTGGCTAAGAACCAAAATGGATTTACTAATGAGCTGGCTAGCAGCAAAGGCGGAAGGCAAAGCATACTATGTGGGTTTGTTCTTGTCAAGAGAAATCAGGACGATTATCTCCACTGAGTTTAAGTATTTGTCACATACATCCTCTATGATGAGGGGGAACTGGTTGCATAGAGTATTTCTAGAATTTCTTGCAGGAAAAGCAGTAAGAGTACTGCTGGCATCTTAATACCTAGCTTTCCACTAGGCAAGGGCCCTGGGTTTCCAGAGTGCCTTCACCCAGACCTTTAATATTCAACTCAGGCAGCAGCAACAGTATTGTCCTTAGGGATTGGGATAGGGTTTGAAGATCTCCTTGTCTAAGAAGGAAGGCTTGGAATCAGCCCACTCTGCTGGGTGGTTTCGGGTGGTAGTTATGTCAGAGTTGGCTTTTCCTTGGATGGAAACTTTGAATCTGCTGAAGGGTTTGGGCGGTGGCCCACTGTGACGCAGCTTCTCTGTAGTGTACTGAGAGACTTCTGTGGCTTGTCTGTCACTGCCAGAAGCGGTGTAGAGTGAATGATGTCCCATCTGGCTTCCCGAAACCTCTCTGCGGGTAGCTCTCTAAACGGGCAGGCACCTGTGGGAATGAAGTGTTTACCCAGCCCAGCCCAGCCAGGGCTCTTGCGGTCGGTCAGTCTCATTATGTCTTGCTGGGCTCACTGGCAAAATGATGAGCCAGGAGGTTCACGGTACTCTTCTCCTCACCCAACTCCAAGATCAAAGTGAGGTTTTCTCACTGTGGAAAAAACAAAAACACACACAAGGGTGGAAGGAAGGAGGAAGAGAGGAGGAAGGAAATGATCATGCTGATCCCAGGTACAGATTTTCTTCTGCTCTTTAAACATGCATGTTAATAAAATTGAAATTTTCTGGGCCTGGAGTATATGCCTATAATTCCAGCTCTCAGGCAGAGCCATGTGGGTGCTGGGAATCTAAACTGGGTCCTCTGCAAGAGCAGCCAGTGCCCTTAACCCCTAGGCCATCTCTCCAGCCCCTTGAAGTGTTTTCAAAGAGATCTCTACGGCCTATTAAGATTAGCCTTTTATTATGTTTATTTTGAATTTTAAATGGTTTCCCATTGAATTTTTGGGTAATGCTTTATGAAGATGTAATATACTTACCAATCTGATCTACCTGTTTGAAGAGTTCAATTTATCTGGTTTTAGTGTATTCATACATAAACCTGTGCAACTATCACCACAATGAATTTTTGGAATATTTTCATCACTTCAAAAAGGAATCCCATGTTCTTCAGTTACTTCCCTGCAATCCCCCCAAGCTCTCCTAGATCAAGGAACCACTTTCTGCCTTTATCAATTTGCCTATTCTGGACATGGGTATTTGGAATCATATAACGCATGGTCTTCCGTGACTTCTTTCACTAACCTAATGTCTTTAAGATTCATCCCTAAAAAAAAAAATTATTCCTGACACAGCATGTTTCAGTCCTTCAATCCTTTCCATTGACGGATAATTTTGTTCTGTGCATATTCCGCCGCATTATATTAGTTCATGAGTTTATAGATTTTTGGGTTTCTTTCCATCTTTTTGTTTGTTTACTAAAATGTTAAACTTATAACATCAGGTCTGTTGCTCACTAACATGCAGTTTCTTCAGGTGTTTTGTCTTCCTGTAGTCCCAGCTAGCCTGGAACTCACTATGTAGACTAGGCTGGCCTTGATCTCACAGAGATTTGCTAACCTCTGCTTCCTGAGTGCTGGAATTAAAGGTATGTGCCATCAGACCTGACAATTTCTTCAGCCAAATCAAGGATAATGCATTCACCTGAATTTTCATCTTTTCAATTGTTTTTTTTTCTTTCTTTTCTTTCTTTTTTGAGACAAGGTTTCATTATGTAGCCCTGGCTGGCTTTGAACTCACAGAGATTCACCTGCCTCTGCCTTCTGAGTGTTGGGTTTAAAAATGTATACTACCACGCCTGGTATATCTTTTTTAATTTTTAAAACTCATTTTATTTTACATTTTAATATAAAATCCATCTTAATTTCATTTTAGTGTTCTCAGAATTGGAAAGAATTTTATAGTAGTCCCTCCCTTCTCCCACTACCCTCAGTAATGAATATTTTCCAGCACTATCTGCTGCGTCATCCTACCAACAATTTCCTTTATTTTATGCTGATTTACTTTTTTGTTTGTTTGCTGTTTTAATTTTATTTTTGGAGTGAATGTAGATTTATTAAGAAAATGAGAAACACTCTCGAGAGCGAGAGGGGTTCTGTTTTTAAGGGCAGTTTGAGGTCCCCAGCAAACTCATGTGGAAGGTACAGAGACTTACCATACGGTTACCTCTGCACACATAGCCTCCAACACTATTAGCATCCACCACAAGAATGGTACACCGATTACAACTGATATACCTGCATGATGGACCATCAGTATCACACAATCCACTGTGCATTAGAATATGCTCTTGGTATTGTCTAGCCTATGGGACAAATGTTTAATCATATGTATCCACCTTATAGTGTCATGCAAAGTCTATTCACTACCCTAAAAATAATCATATGCTCTGCCTGCTCATCCCTTCCTCTTCCCAAGCCCTGGTGACTATGGATTGTATTTTGTCCCCCATGGTTTTACCTTTTATGGAATCACATAGCGTGTAGCCTTCTTTCACTCAGCAATATGCATTCTTGTTTCTGCCATGCCTTTTGTTGCTCATCAGCTCATTTCTTTTAGTTTTGTGTTTGGTTGTCTGCTAGTGCTACTGTTTGTGTCCACTCAGCTACTGGAGGATGTCTTAGTGGCTTCCAAGTATTGGCAGTTATGAAGAAAGCTGCTGTAAGCATCTCTGTGCAGGTTTTTGTGTAGATATACATTTTCAGTGGCTTTCGGTAAATACCAAGGAGTGTGACTGCCGGATGGAATGGTAAAGTGTATTTAAGAAGTTGCTCACGTGTCTTCCAAAGTGACTGTACTGTTTTGTATTCCTGCCAGTGATGCATGAGAGTTCCTGGTGTTGCGCATCCTCAAAGGCATTTGATAGAATCCATGCTCTGGATTTTGACCATTGTAATAGCTATGTTGTGTGTACAGCTGTTGCTTTGATTTGCATTTCCCTGATGCCATATGATGTGGATCATCGTTTTTGTGTGCATATTTGCCATCTGTATGGAGGTATACATACAGTCTTGTGTGTAATTTCACAAGGAGCTCTGTAAATCACTGGATCCTAATTAAGAGCCCCGCTGTAGAGCTCTGGTAGATTCTCAGCATTCACCTGTGCCATGGTTCTAGTTTCATTTCTGTTGCTGTGATAAAACATCCTGAAGAAATGCAGCTTAGTGGAGGAAGGGCTCATTTGGCTCACATTTCCAGGTTACAGTTTATTACTGAGGGAAGCCAAGGTAGGAACTCAAGTGGCTGGTTACATCACATCACATCCATAGTCAAGAGCAGAGAGAAACATGCATCCGTGCTTCCCTCTTGCTCTCAGCCAGATTTCTCCTGCCCTGAATAGATCAGGACATTCTGCCCAGGGAATGGTGCCACCATAATGGTCTGGGTCTTCCTACCTCAGTTAACAATCAAGACAACCCCCAACAGACATGTTCACAGGTCAACCTGATCTAGATAATTCCTTAATTGAGACTCTCTTCTTAGGTGATTCTAGGTTGTAGCAAGTCTGCTTGCCCTAACCTTTCAAGCACAAGTACATATGACTATGGTACTGATCTGGAACCAAGTCAGACTGATCTAAGCCTTATTGAAAATGATTACTTCTCACTGTTGCTGCTGAAGGAGACATTAACTCCATATGACCCTGAGGTCTTGGGGCTTTCTGGAGAGTTTCTTGCTTTCTGGTTAAAGTAGGCAGTCCCTTCTTGACTCTACTTGCCTCACCCTACAGGATGTCCAGAAGCCTGCTGACTGAGTGTAGACTTGCCTCAAACTTTTTGACCTCACTCCCCACATTGTCCTGCTGTTACTGTACTCCGTGGTCTTACATGGAGGTTGGCTTTTCCCCAGTCGGTCTTCTTTTGTGACTTAGTGACTCACTCCCTTCAGCTTGAATTTGTTTGACAGTCAGCCAATGATGTGGAGCTCTCTGGGGTGGAGCATGTCTAACGGTTTTTCCTTTCTCCTGCTCCCATTCAGTCATGTCCTGTATTCCATAGATTCTGGCTGTGACTCAGTAACCGACACGGAGCCTGAGGACGAGAGAGCCCTTCCTTACTCGAAGCAGCCGAACCCACCACTGGAGACATCGTCTGGGAACCTGATGGTGGTGCAGCCAGACCGTGTTCGCTGTGGGGTAGGCACCCTGGGGACTAGTGGATTCCCCATCAGAGCATGGGCCTTTCAAATAGATGCTTTTGTTGCCATAAAGGGTGTGAGGATATCATGGTATACCTTTGTACAACTGCAGCCTTCCCTCAGAACCCCTGTGGGATTTGGACATGAGTAGCTCCTTTAAGTCAGAGAACTGAGCCCAGGAATGTATGTGCCATCGATATAAGATCATTCCATGAATGAGTAATGTAGGGCATGTAGGACACCAGATACCAGCAGACCTGAACATTGTTTAGATACATTCACAACCCTGGAATTAGAGACCTGCGTGTCTTCCTGGCCTAGCCCTGGAAGGCGCATGCTGGGAGCTTGCTTTTTTTTTTTTTTTTTAAATCAGCTGTCCACGGCCTTGGCCCAAGGGAGGGTTTTAAGGCTTAATGACTGAAGTTCACTAGCCAATATTTCTTACAAAAAATATTGGCTAAATACCTAAGCAGCATGTGGCTAGCATTTTAGGGCGGGCATATATTAACAAGTACTTGCACATGAGAACCTAGTAACCACTGTCATTTGAATCCTATCACAGTATTGATAGTTTTTAATTTTCTTTCCTCTCCTGATTAAAACAATAAAGCATTTTGGATAGGTTAGAGCAGCAAAATGCTTTCTTCATGGATACAAGCCCTTCGCTAAGTTTGCCACTGTGGCTCCTCGGGACCATGGGGCATGAGAGCCTTGACAGTGGGAGGAGTGGGGCCTGACTTCCTTCTCCACAGCTGAGGCCACAAGACACCAGGCAAGGGCTCCCACATGGGAGTTGCCAACTGTTTTGTGGACTGGATTAAACCACAGATATGGTTTGGAATGCAGAATATTTTTAAACCAAAGCATAAGAATTGTTGTTTTTCAGCTTCTTTTGAGTCAGAATTTGTAATATTAGGCCGGAGATGACTGACTGGGTCTGAGCACCTTTTGCATGGGACATGTGTCCTCTATCCTGCTGGTCCCCACCATTCCCTGATCTTTGTTGGCAGTTTTTATTTTGTGTTTTTTGAGACACTCTTTCTACGTAACTCAGGTTGGCCTTAAACTCGTACTCCTCTTGCCTCAGTCTCCTCAATGGACTTGTGGTGGAATCACAAGTGTGTGCCATGACACTTGGCTCCTCCCTGCTCTTTATACTTAGCCCTTTACACTCGCCCTCTGTGTGAACATTGCCGGTTCACTCTCCCCGTGCTGTGTCTTCCCATGACTGTGTGGTCAGACTGCTGGATACAGTGGTGAAGGTGTTTGGGGCCAATGTGTGCTTCATGTCACTGTCCTCCTACCTTCATATTCTTCTTGCTTCCTCTCAACTGCCCTCTCACCCAAGATCTTTCTAGTTGCCTACTAGGTCTGTGGGTCCAGGGGTGGCTGGGGCTGTGTCCTGACTGTCGACAGGACTGACACGCATTGTCTCTGGCTCTGGCTCCTCACATCAATGGGACAAGGGGCAGGTAGGGCAGGGTCAGGTCTGCAGCAGGAAGGACGACAGCCACGGCATATGTGTTTGGCTGTAGCAGCCTCTAGGAGTGTGGGTCATAGACCCTTCTCCTGTTGTGAACTCTGAGTCTGGCATACCCTTCCACAGCCCTTATGAAGGCCACTGTGATGACTTTATAACAGTCCTAGAATCAATGATTAAGGACTAGCTCCACCCAGAAATCCCCCCTTCCTTCCTCTGTTTTTTTTTTTTTTTTTTTTTTTATGGGGCCTAGCTCTGTTAGTTCTGTCTGAAAGGAACATTGCCAAGTTTAAACAGCACAATAAAACAAGGAACAAGTTGAGTATCCCTTTTCCAAAATTCTGAGCACCTGAAGTGTCTTGCATTTTGAACTTTGGTTGGGGGGGGTTGAATTATTTGCATATGCATAATGAGATTATCTTTTAGACCAAAGTCTAAAAACAAAGTTCATTTATGTTTCATGAAAGAAACATTATACATACCCTGAAGGAGGTTTTATAGACCGTGTTATTACCCTTGCATTTGGGCTTTGGACACATGAATCAGGACTGGAAGTTTCCATTTGTAGTATCAAGACAGAGCATTTCAGATTTTGGAGTTCTGGGTAAGGGAGGCTTTTACAGGCTCAGTGTGAGATATTACAGTCATCTGGGCATCTTGCAGACTCTGGAACTGGCAATGTGGTTCAGCCGATAGAGAGCATGCCTAACATGCACACAACTTGGGTTCAAGCCCCGGCACCACATAAAAACTGGACATTTTGGCACATGGCTGTAATCTCAGAACTTGGGAAGTGGATGCAGGAGAATTAGAACTTCAGGATCATCCTCAGCTATGTATTAAGTTTGAGGTCAGCCTGAGCTGTACAAGACTCAGTCTCAGAAAAATAAAATAATAAATGAAATAATTTTTTTTTTAATGCAGACCCTGTATCAGTGGTGGGAGGAGCTGACAGTCTGCCTTCTGGACCTGCTTCAGATGTGCCAGTGCTGCTGCTGCTTTGGCTATGTGTGGAATAGCAGAGCTAGTCTAGTTTCTCAAGCTCTGGGGAAAGACTTTCTTTTAAAAAAAAAAAGTTCCAGAACTGGTGGCACATGCCTTTAATTCCAGCAATCTTGTGGGGCTGAGGCAGGTGGATCTCTGTGAGACTGAGGCCAGCCTGGTCTACATAGTGAGTTCCAGGTCAGCTGAGGCTACAATGAGACCCTTGTGTCAAAAAGACCAAAAAAGAAAAAAGAAAAAACAAAAGTCCAATCTGTGATTGTACAATGATTTTCATAAGAACATTTTAAAATGCTATACAATCAAATAAAACATAAAACAGAAAATTATGTGTGAAATTAATAGACAGAATTACCCCATTCAATTGCTATAAAAAATTTTAAAAATGTTTAGCTTTGATAAATTGCTTCATTGGGTCCATAGCCTGTGGTTTCCTGTCCAGTACTGGTCTGTCAAGCCCATTTGGCCAGTACATACTCACTAGAGAGAGCAGGGGTTCAGGGAGTCAGGAAACCCTTTACCTAGAGCACTCTACATGGTACAGGAGGGACCAGAACCTATCTCCCCTTCCAGGCAGAAACCACTGTGTACATCATTGTGAGATGCAAGCTGGATGAGAAGGTGTCCACAGAAGCAGAGTTTTCTCCTGAGAATGCACCCTCTATCAGGGTGGAAGGCACACTGGAGAATGAGTATACAGTTTCCGTGAAGGCTCCAGGTAAGTGACCTCATGCTGACTGGAGCATGGTCCTCAGCTGCTTTATGAAAATTGCTGATCTCAGGCTCACTTGTGAAGTTGTCTCCAACTAGAGGCCTTGTCAGTCAGCTTTGCTAAACTGCTATCTTTAAAAAGTTGTGTGTTTAATTGCATTTCCGTGATTACTAGTGAGGTTTAATATTTTTCCATGTTCATGACTTGTCACATTTCCTCTTTTGTGAATTGAGTCTTTGTGGTTGGTGTATTTTTAATTCTTTTCTTTCCCCCTCAAAACCCCTTCCGGTGGTATAGACCTCTACCTCAGGAAAAGCACGTAGTAAAGACAGCAGCAGAGCAAGTCAGCTGATCCTACTGGCCCAGGTGGCAGAAACAGTGTCACCCCAGTCCCCAGAATCCCAGCCCTTGCCGCCTCTACATAAAGCACCTTAAACCCCATTTTTCTTTGTTCATTGAGGTCTGGGGAATTAAGCAAAACAGGAGCTGGAGAGATGGGCTCAGAGGTTAAGGGCACATAATCCTCTTGCAAAGGACCTGAGTTAGGTTCCCAGTATCCACATCAGGCAGCTCATAGCTGCCTATAAATTCAGCTCTAGGGCCATCCTATAACCCTGGCTTCTGCAGGCATCCATACTCATGTGCACGTACTTACACACAGACACACGCATACATGCAATTAAAAATAAAATAAATATTAAAAAATTATGCAAAGCTGATGAAAACCCTTCAAAAATGCAAATGATGACCCAATGAGGATACTTGTTCTGAATCAGATCCACGCAAGCTGGCCTGCTCGGCTCCTTCCGTCCTTGCTTCTCCCCCAGCTCACATCTGACACTTCCTTCCAGCCCTAGCGACTGCTTCACCACTCAGATGGAGCATGTCTGCCCATGACTGCTTTTTCCAGGACCCTTATTCTTCCTGGCTTTTCAACAGTCTCTTTTCTTCTATTCAGACCTTTCATCTGGGAATGTTTGTCTGAAGATATATTCTGGGGACTTGGTAGTGTGTGAAACCATCATCAGCTATTATACTGACATGGAGGAAATTGGGAACTTACTGTCCAATGCCGCAAATCCCGTGGAGTTCATGTGTCAGGTAAAGATGCTGGGAGTAGACACGAGCTTTCTGGGCATGGAAGTTCTGCACAGGACTATTTAGCCTCTACTTTGATGGGCAGGAACTAGCAGAATTTGAAATCTGCCCATCTCCACTGTTTTATATAGGCCTTTAAAATTGTACCCTACAACACAGAGACTCTTGACAAACTGCTAACAGAGTCCCTTAAGAACAACATCCCTGCAAGCGGACTGCACCTCTTTGGGATCAACCAACTGGAAGAAGAAGATATGATGACAAGTAAGTCAATGAACAACTCTCAAGGGGCCAGCTGTGGGCCCAGTCCAGCTTGCTGGTTTCAGCATTCAGTTAGACCATGCTCTATAGCCTGCCCTTATGCAAGGACTCCTTGCACTGGGGAGACAGAGAGTCTTTTGAGTCTCAAATCTGAATACAGTCATACATCCCTTAATGATGGGACTATCTTCTGAGAAGCATGTAGTTAGGCAATTTCATCACTGTGACAGGGTATTTATATAAACCTAGATGGTATAGCCTACTACACACTTAGGGTATATGATATAGGAAGGGTATAGCTTATTGCCTGTCAGGGCCAAGGTAAACAAAATGACAGGAGGTTAAATCAAACACAAGAGAGAGTGACACAGTCATGAACCACAGTCAACACAGTATGCATGAAGGTGCTGCTGGTGTGACACGCATGCTCTTCAGCAGTTTTTTCCCCCCAAAAGTAGCAGTATAGTCTAAAATAATAATGGAAAAATACAGTACGTACCTAAGCCAACATAATCCTGTGCCATCAAGTATCCATACTATACATAATTGTGTGTGCCATACTTTTATGTGACTGGCAACCAGCCCAGTAGGTTTGTTCACACCAGCATCATCACCACATGCAAGGAGTGCATTATGCTATGATGGTATGAGAGCTGCAGCATCACTAGAGGATAGGAGTTCGTCATCATTCTCATCTGATAGGACTTCTGTGACTGAAATGTCATTCTGTGGCACACAGCTACACTTGACTGCCTTCTGAAAACATACACGGCTCTCACCTGCCTCATAGAATTCAGACCCCTTACCCTACTAACAGACCCTTCCCAAGGGCTCCTGCATGCTTTCGCCCTCATCTCTCTCTGTACCCCCTCTTAGTAGCTTCTGCACCCCCTTCTGATGACTCTCTGCTTCTGAAAGGTATGAACTTCTCACATCTGTGTCTTGCCACTCTATTCATGGGAATGCAGTTTCGTTGTCCCCATCATGGTTGTCATCTCCCTGGTGACTTTCTCTTCATCTCCCTGCAGCAGCTCAGGAAGCACTTCTTCTGGAAGGCCTTCTCCAGTCCTCCAGGAGGCCGCTCCATACTTGCTGTGGGCTCCCTTAGCATGTTGAAGATTCTGTTCTAGAGCTTGCCTATTACATTTGTCTCCTTTGCTAGACTGTCAGCTCAGTGAAGAGTGGAAGTGTTCCCAGATGGTGGCTCCTTGAAGGCTTTAAACAAATATTTGTTCCTTGAGAGAGGAGCAGGTTCTTGTGTACATGTGACATGGCTGTGGTAGGAGCTGGGAAACACACTTGCCCAGGGATACTGCCTGGCACTCTGTTCAGGATGCCTGTTCCTGTGACTACCATTCTTCCCACCATGGTGACCCTATGTACCTTCTGCCTTCATTCTGTTTGTAGCCTCCAACCCATAGAAGAGCATTACCTGCTAGGCCTCCTCCTGGGGGGTCTCCTCTTCCTTGCTACCTCTCCTCATTTTCCTACTGTGGAGTTTTCTTCCCTCACTCCCAGTAGCTGTTACTATTCTCTATCTTAAACCTGGGGCTCAGGAGAGAGTATCTCACAGCCTGATGACAAGGGGACTTGGGAACATTTTTTAGACATTTCATCACAAGGATCACATCCTGGTGAATAGAAATCTGGGTTTGGCATTTTTAAAGTGACAGGGAGAGTCCTAGATAGATGACTCAGTGTTTAAAGTACTTGCTACATAAGTAAGAGGACCAGAGTTCAGATCCTCAGGATTCACATAAATGCCAAGTGGGTGTGATAACCCTGACTTTAATTCCAGCCTCAGAAGGCAGAGACAGAACATCCCTGGGGCAAGCTGGCTAGCTGTATTGGTGAGCTTTGGATTTGATTGAGAGCCCTTGCCTCAAAGAACAAGGTGGAAGAACAATAAGAGGAAGATACCTGACATCAGTTATGAGCCTCCACATGCATGTGCACACACATGCACACATGTGCCCACATACTTGTAAACTTGTACGCACATATACCAAAGCACATACACATAAAAAGACTGTGTGAAAGGGAGAATAAACGAATTAAATGACAGAGCCTAGAATTAAACTTTTATGAAAAGAAAAATAGATTTCTCCCTAAGTTCCCAACATGAGCATGTTTGTTCTCTTGGCATTTTTACAAAATTGGTAATAGATAAAAGAGTGGACTTCGTCCTCTTAATCAACACAAAACAGTAGTTTCAAAGCACTCCCATCTTTGCAGAGAAGGCCAAAACATGATTCCTGTAACCCTTTGTGACTGCTATTTAAGCCTTTAGAAACTGGGGACTGGGGATATAACTCAGTGGTACAGCACTTGCCCAGTATGTCAAGGCCCTGGGTTTTATCCCCAGCCTTGGGGATGAAAAAAAGAAGATGCTAAGGATTTGAAAATTTCTAAAGGATTTGAAAATTTTCAAAAGATTTGAATTTGTGCCTTTTCTAGGAGTTTTCTAACCTTTTTTGAAGAAAGAAGGTGGGCTACTAATTAGTAGATCTGCTAATTAAAATATCACTGTTGTGTGAGTACATGATCCTCAGTGGTACCCCAAAGGAAGCTTTGAGATACTGGGTCAGTCAGCCAGTAAGTAATGATTGAGTGACTACTGCATGCCCTATTAGGCTTAGCAGCTTTGTCTCTGGGATTCAAGGTGTCCTGTGCTTTTCTTCTTACCTGTCAATTAAACTCTCCTTGACACCTTTTTAGATCAGAGGGATGAAGAGCTACCTACCTTGTTGCACTTTGCTGCAAAGTATGGATTGAAGAACCTCACTGCCTTGTTGCTCACCTGTCCAGGGGCCCTCCAGGCATATAGTGTGGCCAACAAGCATGGCCACTATCCTAACACCATTGCTGAGAAGCATGGCTTCCGGGACCTGAGGCAGTTCATCGACGAGTATGTGGTAAGCCCAAGGCGGAAGAGCCCCCATGATGGGAATGCTCTCTATGGTTCTGGAACTTCTTTTTTATCGAAGGCTTTGGTGAATTTTGTCTCCAACATGTCCTCATGTGCCTATTTGGCAGTGGGCAGTTTGTGTGGGCCTGGGTCCAAACTCCTGGTAATGATGTGACTTTGGGCACGTCACCTATCCTCTCTCTCAGTTTCTTAATATGCAGGAGGAGAATCCTAGGATATCTTCTCATAGAGTTCTTTTGAAGTTAAAAGGACCTAACATATGCAGAGCACTGAGGCCCACTCTCCGAGACCTGACAGGGACATCCATACAGCACATCTGCTCAAGGCTGATACAGAGCCCTCTCCCCACCTACCTTGTTCCTTGTTGGGAGTTTTGCCCACCTTTGCCCACCTTTGGCCCACATGAACTGTGTTAGAACTGGTTCCTTCCTTAGCCAAGGCCACAATAAAGCTTTGCCCTGAGATGGTATCAAAGTGCCCAACTTGAGCCCTCACTCCCTTAGCAGCCTGTCTCTCTTTCTGAGCCTCTACTTGCAAATGAAGCTATGGCAGGTGGATATACACAGCTTGCCTGACAGGTGCTCTTTGGTCACTGATTTCTGAGCCCTTCTCTGAGATCACTCTGGTACTATGCCTGTGTCTTATTCCATGCCCAGGATTGCCTCTGTTGTATTAGAGGTGGCTGTTCTTCCTGACTTCACTCCTTTCTGGGTTTCTACCTCCTTTGCAGACTCACTTAGGGTTCATGAGACTAGCTCATCCTCTCATCTGGCTGTGACACCCCCAAATCTAGTCTTGACAGGAGTGAGCCTGACATTTCTCCAGAAACCTAAGTGCCATAAAATCTGTAATGCAATGACACCAAGGCACGTGGAGGGGCTTCCCAGTGTTTTGAGTATATAAATGTTCCATACAAATGTTCCAAACGAATAGTAGTTGAAGTCCTTGTTTGGGGCCTTCCTGACATAAATGAGCATAAAGGCACTCACAGTCTTGGAGTATTTATGTGGCTTTACCTCAAAACCACACATGTACTAAATGTAGCATGCCATTTTTGTGTTAATAGTTTTCAGTAAGGCCATGCTGTGTTAATAGTAGAAACGAACATTTCCTGAACTCATTTGGTTGGCAGATGCCCTGTCTCATTTAATCCTTACCACACTCCTTTGAAATTGAAAGGACTGCATTTTCTGTCTTATGAATGAGGAAAAGGACGTAGAAAGCCAAGGTGATTGTCCCCAGAGCCTCACACTGGTAAAGGTGCAGATGGGATTTGAACCTAATTCATTGCTATAGGTAGGGCTTGTTATCCTTTCGGCATAATGGGGGAGGTTAGAGTTTTACTCTCAGGGTGCCTTGAGCTTAGTCTGGTTCACATTTCTCATATTATCTTTGCTCCCACCTACAGCGATGTATCTTCAGCCTTGTTACCAAAAGGTTGTCCCTGCAGGTGACTCACAGTCTCTAAGGAGTGTCACATTTTATTTCATTTTATTTCCAAATGTTAGACTTGGAGTCCCCAGCATTACACAAATGTCACTTGGTTTGCTCCAGTCTCACCAGGAAACCAGCACAGTGTCAATCAAAGATTACCTCTGTTGGGTACTGATGATGAAAAGAAGGATTTCTGTGCTAAAGTAAGGATTTGTGACACCAGTGTCTTGCCAGGAAACATTGTGCAGCAATTGCAGGGAAGTCAGCACTCCAGCACCACAGCCATCTGGAGGCAGTGTGACTGGGGGTAACCTTTCTGACTTTGGGACCGTTTATGTAAGAGCAGCATCTTTTGGAGCATCTAGAATGTGAAACTGAGGGAGGAAGCCCTAGAAACTGCCCTGCACTTGGGGAAGCCTGCTGGAAGGACTGGGAACTGAGTCATTTCTAAGGGACCCCTGGTTTCACAGGGGCAGGCACACCTTAGCATGCTCCTGTCAAGCCCACTGCCCATCTGCATGGCTGGTCAGTAAGGGTCTCGACTGCCTATGCCACTTGTTCCCTTTTGAGGAATCACTGGAATGCAGTAAAAAGATCAAAAGCCAAGGTTGCAAGCTCTGCAAGGAAAGGATTAGGTTTTTCTGAGCTTTGCTTTTCTCATCTGTAAATGGGGAGTAGTGTATTCACCTCATAGAGAGGGAAGGGTGACATGAGAAAAATGTGTCAGTGTATCCCCCTCCCCAAACCTGACTCTTACTAGGTGCTCATGAGAGAGTAGTTTTTATTTATATCCTTTGACCTCTGGCCATTTAACTAGAATTTCTTAAGTGCTTAACTCTGTGATTAGTGTTGGGAGAAGATATGATTAAAATGGAAACCATAAGGCAATGAAGAAAAAAAGGCCCAAAGCCTGACTCTGAAGTGCTCTGTCAGGTAGGGAATGAAAATACCCACAAGCAATTGCAATCCTGACTCATGACCACTCCCTTTGCCTGTCTCAGGCCCACTCGGCCTGATTCTGCCCAGCTAGCCAGGTACCTCAGTGTGCAGCACCCCCTTCTTCTCTTGCAGGAGACAGTGGACATGCTGAAGAGCCACATTAAAGAGGAACTGATGCAAGGTGAGGAGGCCGACGCTGTGTATGAATCCATGGCCCATCTGTCCACAGACCTGCTCATGAAATGCTCGCTCAACCCCGGCTGTGACGAGGAGCTGTATGAGTCTATGGCTGCCTTCGTTCCAGCGGCCACAGAAGACCTTTGTAAGTAGCTCAGCCCAGTTCTGCTTCCATCCTGCTGCCAAGAACTAGCTGCTTCATTCTGATCCAAAGAGGGAAAGTCCCAACTTGCCCTGCAACTACCCCAGCAGAATGAAGACCCTGTGTTCTAACAGCCCTGTGCCATAGCAAGGAGACCCCCTCCTCCAGACTTCCTTTACTGGGACTTTATAGATCTTCAGAATGCCCTCTAGGGGGCAGTGTGCCACCCTTGAGAGCTAGACAGTGGATTTCAGCACACAGCCTGGTGGGGAGGCAGGTTCGCACAACAGCTAAGAGGCTTATTGATGTGTTACTGACATTTACTATGAAGTGCTAAACACTCTGAAACACTGCCTAGGACTTAACTCTCCTTCCCTCCAGGTCTACCTAATAGATTCAAGAAAGACAAGACAAATATCTACCAATGTGTCAGCTTTATGGATGGAGGGCTTTCTGGAATAGCCAGAGTACTCCCACCCTTTCAGGACTTGTAGGGAAGCAAGCCTGACTTTCCCATGCATGAGCTCATGGAAAATCAGTACCATGAGGAGGCCTTGGAGCAGTAGGTGCAGGCTGACTGGGAGCCAGAGGTGGTCCTTGACTCTAGTGTGGCCTTTACACTAATGCCAACGCTCACAAGATAGGGATCAGTAACAGACCTTTGCCAGTCATGTAGACTATTGCTTTCGGGTAAAGGGCAGTAGGTCCCTTTCCAGCACCTAAGGGGGAGACTGAGAAGCAGTCCTGGAAGCTTTTCACGGATGAACTGTGGCCTGGCAGGGGCGTGAGGAGGAAGCCATCACCCACACCATCCACATCTTTTGTAACTTTCCCAAAGTGTTACAACAGACAAATCTCATAGAGCTCAGATATGGATCCAGGTCGCTCATCTCTCTCTGTGTCTCTTAGGACCATGTTTTTTTTTTTTTTTTAAATCCCAGGCCAGAATTTTTCCTCTAACAGTACAAGTTTTCATTCTCGTCTCCTTTTCAGCCTCTATAGCTATTTCCTCTGTCTGCTGTTTGGGGAGCTAGGTAAAAAAACAGCCTTCAGCTGCTCATGCCTATAATTTCAGCACTCTGGAGTGGGAGGCGGGAGGATCAAGGCCAGTCAAGGCAACTTAGGGAGACCTTGTTTCAGATCCAAAACAACAACAAACTCAAGAACAAACAGCAGCTTCTGGCGCCCCTGCCTTCATACATACATACATCCGCCCTCATATCCAGCAAGTATTTCTGGGGCATTTATGTTTTAGCTATTTGCTTCTCCCCTCAGGTATTGGACATACAGTGAACCAAGACCTGTCTTTCCCACTGTAGAACAAGGAATCATTCACCAGGACTTTTGGGCATCCAGAAAGTTACCTCCTTTCTTCCCTGTCTCCTACCTCTGAGGCTGTTGAGCAATGAAAGAATTCCTTACTTACTGGCAGTGAGTGTTGACAGTCTTCACACTTGCTATCCCTCCACCCTATGCTCACCGCATCACTCCTGCAGGGGATGCTGAGGCACCCAGCTGTTATTCCCTGCCTGCTGTTCTTTTGCACCTGAAAGAGGCTCACCAGTGCTTCCAAGGTAGTGGCATGCTATGGGGCTAGTCTGTTTGTGACTCAGTGGCAACTTGTCTTTCAGTGTCAGGAGGTTCTGGATGTGGTAGACCCAAGGAGGCTACCAGGAAGGAGGCAGGCTATAGGATGTAGTTACTATTTGGGTAAGGAATGAAACCCACCATAGATGAAATTTGCCAGATCATATAAACTCTGGAGTTTCTCACTGTAGACATGATTTGGTTTGTTTCTGTCTCTGTGATTGTTGGATTTAACCTTGAGAGTGATTTCTTCTCTGCTGGTTCAGAAGATACTGCCACTTGGACCTGAGAACAGTCATTTTACTGACAGTGACTGGAGACAGCTTGGTTCCTGAAGAGGAGAGAGAACAAACAATCTATCTCAGACACTGGCAGCACTAGCAGAGTGGGGAATTGCCACATACCTGGCAGCCCTTGAAGTGGGCCGGCCGCTTTTATTCCTGCTGTCTCACCTGACAGTTCCTGGCCTTGATGGGTAGAATTATCTCCACTTTACAGGGAGAAAACAAAAAGCTCCTAGATTTAGTAACCTTCTTAAGTCCATCAATAGAAAACTGGATCAGGAACCTGAGTCTTCAGGGTTGCAGGGGACAAGTCTGTCTGCTACCCCACGGGGGTAAAGGGACCTCCCAGACTGTCCTGAGGTTGCATTCACTGCACTTGGGTGGACACTCCTCAGGAACTACTTCTAAATGTCTAAATAGCGAGGTTTATCAAGGTCACCTTTGCTGCTGTTCAGGGGTAACTCTTATAATAAACGTTTTAGGGAAATTTACCATTCACTCATGTCACTGGTACACAGGGCCAACACCATGGAGTACAGCGTTTTAGACCAGTTACCTTGGTGAGCCCCTATTGGTGGGGCAAATCTGTCCAGTATCATTTGAGTTTGGGAAAGGGATATAATGAGGACCCCCTTCACCAAAGGAAACCCCAAACAACCACTGGCTAGGAAGGTCATGGTTAAGCTCTGTCTTAAATGAAGGAAACTGGGGGGCAGACACACTCACACACACACACTCACACACACGCTCACACTTACACACACTCACAAACACTCACACTCACACACTCACACACACACTCACACACACACTCACACACACACACACACACACACACACACTCCCACTCCCACGCAGTCTTTGGTTTAGATATGCTGCCACCAGGTGGTGACTGTATGTCTTTGTTATCAGACCTCCAGCTTTGCTCCCAATCCTCTGGAGAATTTTTTGATCTGGACCTCACAGATTTAACCCTTCAACTCCTACATTTTACTTTGTAAGAACTAAATACTCTTATTAAGGGTAAAGCAATGCAAGTACCAAATAAAAGTCAAGGTAGCTTCTCTTTGGTTGTTTTCACTGTTTGGCTGTATGCACTTTCCCTTGCATAGCTCTCGTGCCTCCATCCCTGCCTTTGGGAATGACATGATGGTCCTCGTGGTCCTCTGACGTGGGTCAGTCATTTCATTTCAACTTCACACAGTGGTTAGTCACTTTCAGGAGCCTCTTCTTATGGAGGCCTGACAAGCTAGTACCCAGGGGCCCTTGTCCAGTCTGTTTCCAGGGTAATCCACTGGTGGGTTATAGCTTTGCTTACTTACATATCTCTGAGGCTTATTTTTTCCCACAAGAGAATAGAGCCAAAGGAGAAAGGTACGACTCCCACTATTGGAAACACAGGAATCGCTGTAATCATTCCTTAGAAGGCTCTATGTTACCCTCGTGTGGAACTTTTCCTTTAACCCTTTCCAGTTCTGCCCCAGCTTAGGCTTGTACATAGCGGAGCACTGCCTTGGCCCCAGCTATCTTACTGGCTTTCCTTGGCACTCCATAGCACCTGGGGTCTTGTGACACACCATGTCCATCAGTTCATGGTTTCTGTACATGAACTGTCTAATTTATAGTCTCTCTCTCTGACATCCAGGTTCCCTCTGAGCTGGGAGCACAACTAGGTGCTTTGAAGGATCTTGCAGCCCAACGCCTCAGGTCTGAGCCTAAGCAAAATTACCAAGTTGCTGTTGTGCTTCTGGGAAATACCACATGCCCCATTTTCAGGCTTTCCCTCAGGACCCTCCCTTCTTGCAGCTGCAGAGGTTCGGTCTGCCCCTTGCTGTCCTCCTTGGGAAGATTCCAGCAAGTAGAGACTGAAGATGCTGCAGGGGCAATGGCTCTGGGTACAAGAGCTCTACCAACTAGGGGGACAGGGTCACTTCTTGGCCTCCTAGTGCTTTTAACTCCTGCACAAGTACAGAACTATTGGGGACATAAGCACTTATTGAAAGCACTGGATCTGGTGTTTTAAACACTCCCTTCAGCAGCGGTGGCCTTGTTCCCCTCTGGATCCACACAGCTTACTGATTAGTTATGTGTTTCTCTGGTTATAAGCCGCTGGCCTTGATGGGGAGTATGACATACAACTTTGTATCATCCCCAGCACCCAGCCAGCCCCGTGCTGTGCCTAAGACATGGTCAACTAATAGAGACACTAGAAAATAAGATGTAATCCTGGACTTTGTAGATGTTCAAGTGTAAATTAGTTTGTTGACAGTCTAATGCATTGCCCTCGTTTTCCTGACAGGTGTAGTGAGAGACATCGATTAGGTACTGCCAAGCATGGGACCTTGGGGGGTTATAACTCCCTCAGCTACTCCAGGCTTCCTTTTATTTCATGTCTCCATACATTACAGTGTTTCTTCTGTCTAAATTGCCTTCCTTTTTTTTTTTCTGCTTGAGGAATGCCTGAACTCCTCCACAAAGCCCAAACTCCTCCACATGCACATCTTTGTTTCTTTGTGTCTTCATTAATTTTCTCATTCATTCACTCATTAAATAAACTTATCAAATCCCTCCTTGCGTGTAAGTTGCATGGTGCCAGGTGACGAGCAGCTAATGAATAAGTTGGCATGATCCCTGCCTTCCAGAGTTTACATTCTACTGAATGGCTTGGATTTTAAATGAAAGCAACATGTAGCTAAATTCATGTGCACAAAATGTAACAGTGCTATGCTTTGGAGGAAAGGCGCATTTAGAGAATGTAGGTAGGGCTTGTGTGGTTAGCAGGACCTAGCACCCACCAACCCTACCACAGGCACATCCATGGATTTGCTCCTACATGACAGAAGGTCTTTTTGTCTAAGTATGAAAACTGAAGTCTGCAACTTTCTCTTCATCTTTCTGTTCTTAGCCCCTTCTTTTTCATTGCCAGTGCCAGACATCACTCCTTCACCCCTCTGATTTCAGACTGCCATTCTCTGTGTGTCTGTCTTTCTTTCTCCCCTTCCCATCACCTCTCCATCAGGGTGTGAAAAATTGGCTTTTTAATTGATATCATTAGTCAAACCACCCCATCCTACCTGGATACAAACGGGACAGGCTAGGTTTCAGGTTATCTTCAAATGTCTAACCACACTA